CACGCACGCACGCACACGCAGCACGCACGCACGCACGCACGCACACACACACGCACGCACGCACGCACGCACGCTCGTACGCGCACGCACGCACGCACGCACACACACACACACACGCACACGCACACGCACACGCACACGCACACGCGCACGCACACGCACACGCACACGCACACGCGCACGCACACGCACACGCAAACGCACACGCACACGCACACGCACACGCACACACATACACACACCCACACAGACACATACACATACACATACACATACACACATCCATACATACAAACACACATAAGTAAACACATGCACACATACACACATCCACACATACACACGTACATACACATACACATACACATGCACATACGCATACACATACACATACACACATACGCACATGCACACATGCACACATACACAAATACACACATACGCACATACACACATACACACATAGACACATGTACACATACACACTTACACATACACATACACACATACACACATACACACATACACACATACACACATACACACATACACACATACACACATACACACATACACACATACACACATACACATACTTGCACACACATACACGTGTGCACACACACACACTTGCACACACATGCTTATGCAAATACACATACACATACGCATACATATACACATACACATACACATACACACGCATACACATACACAGGCACATACACATACACATACACATACACATACACACTCTCTCTCACACACGCACACACACGCACACACAGACACGCAAGCACACACACACACACACACACACACGCACGCGCGCACGCACGCACGCACGCGCGCACGCACGCACGCACGCACGCACGCATGCACGCACGCACGCACGCACGCACGCACGCACGCACGCACGCACACACCCACACCCACACCCGCACACACCCACACCCACACCCACACCCGCGCCCATGCCCACGCCCCTCGCCCACGCCCGCGCCCACGGCCGCTCCCGCGTCCACTCCCGCGCCCACGCCTACACCCACGCCCACGCCCGCGCCCACGCCCGCACCCGCGCCCCCCCTTCACCCCCTCCCCCCCCCCGCCCTTCATTCCCCCCGTGCTCTCCTCCCCCGACCTCCGTCCCCGCGCACTTTTTTTCCGTCGCGGTTCGGCAGAGGCGACCCGCTTGCCTATCGAACGACCTGGGCTGCAGCATTGCGAATTCTTCCACATGCAAGGGGGGGAGGGTCAGAAGAGGGCGGCCGCTGAGGGGGAGGGGGGGGCGCTTTCACGCGGCGGCGCCGCGGGGAACGCGCGGGGCGGCCAGGCTGCGGGGCAGCCCCTGGCTGCGGCGCGGGGCGGCGCCGCGGGCGCACCCAGAGGCGGGGCCGGCAGCCGCAGTGCGGGCGGAGTCCGGCAATCGAGGGGCGGGAGCAGCGGGCGGCAGGCGGGCCGGGCGCCCAGGCGGCGGGCGCAGGGGGGCGGCAGCCGGAGTGCGCGGCAGCGGGCCGAGCAGGCCGGCGCGGTGCAGCGGACGCCGAGCCAGCGCGGCAGCACAGGGCGGGCGGCAGGGCGCCTGGCAGCCGGGCGGTGCAGGCCGGGCAGGGGCGAGGGGAACGGGGGGCGGGGAGGCAAAGCCGTCCCAGGGCCGGTGCACGCAACGCAGCCAGGGAGGGGGCGGCGCCCAGGGCCAATGGAGCGCGGGCGTGGGTTTCCACCAGGAGGGGAGGCACAAGTGGGAGGAAGACGGCAGCGGCGGTGTCCCCCAAGTGGGGGCAGCAAAAGCTGCTGGCAGGGGAAGCGGCGGGTCCCGTTGGAATTGCGGACGCCCGCCAATGTTTTCGTGTCGCGGAAAAGCTCTTGGCCGATGCGGTACGCCTCGTTGAGCGTCAGCCAGGGGGATGGACTGGCCCGACCAGCCGTGCGTGCAGGGGTGTCCTTTTTGCATTTTGGGCCGGCCACAAAAAGGGCATCCTGCACAACCAACCAACTCCAAGTGAGGTCCTCGCTCGTCCTTCTCGCTCGCCTCGAAACCTGTCTAACCTCGCCCTTCCCCTTCCCCCCCTCTTCCGCCTGGGCTGGCCCGCCTGGGGGCGGAGGGGGACTCGCGCGATGGCCCTGTGGTGCCCCCCCCCCCCCTCGGTAGCACGGCCATTCGGTATCCCACTCTATCTGGTGCCTGTGCCTCTTGCACGGCGGCGTCCCCCATGGGGCCTTTTGAGTGCGGTCGGGCAGGTGTGCCTGCGTCGGTGGCACACCGTCCAGGATGGCGTCCCTGGTCCCGTCTCCTTCAGTCGGATGGTCCTGGGGAGGAGGAGCGGGTCCCAAGAGTCGAAGGAGAAACAACGGCATAAAGAGAAACTTTTTGCGTTCCGCGCGGATCTCTCAAATCCGTGCTGGGCCCCCCGCGGCGGCGCCTCCAGCGCCGCCCCTGGCGCGCTCCGCGCGCCAGGGAAGAGGGTCCAGCGCAGATCCAAGAAATCCCGCCCAATGTTTATGTCTATGCCGTCTTTTTTCTTCTAGAGAAATGCTGTCGTGAACTTTGTTTGCGCGAGGCCAGAAGTCTGAGCAAAACCCGCTCGCGCAAAGCAGTGTGCCGAGTCCACGCCCAGCCGCGGCGAAGAGCAGTTCGCCACAGTCAAACGCCGAGCCCGAAGAGACATCAGACTCCTCCTCTCTCCAGCGGCCGCAGCAGCATGTGCTTCAATGCGCACCAGGAGCTCCACGTCAGCACTTCAGGGTCCTTCTGCTCTGTTCTCCTGAGATGAGGGAGGGGCGCCCGACGGGGACCTCGAATGGAGGAGGGGCGCGGGGAGCAGGACAAGCAGGAAGAGGAGGAGGAGGAGGAGGAGGAGGAGGAGGAGGAGGAGGAGGAGGAGGAGGAGGAGGGACGAGGACGAGGAGCCGAGAAGGCAGCTCTTCAGGGTTCTTCTGCTCTGTTCGCGCCCGCCCGGCCGTGCGCGGCACGGCCGTAGTCAACCTGCAGCTCCAGGGTCGCCGCCCCCCTGCTCCCTCCTCCCTCCTCCCCTCCTCCTCCCTCCTCCCCTCCTCCCTCCTCCCTCCTCCCTCCCTCCTCCCTCCTCCCTCCTCCTCCCTCCTCCTCCTCCTCCCTCCTCCTCCCTCCTCCCTCCTCCCTCCTCCCTCCTCCCTCCTCCTCCTCCCTCCTCCCTCCTCCCTCCCTCCTCTCTCCTCCTCCTCCCTCCTCCCTCCCTCCCTCCTCCCTCCTCCCTCCTCCCTCCTCTCGGGCCGGGCGAAAGGGGGGGATTGGGAAAGGGGGGGTTACGAAATCTGCCGCATGCAGCTGGTTTCGGCCTCAGCGAGGGGCCCATTCCTCGATACATGGTCGCCTCCCGGCTGCCGGGAGGCGCCGGGAGGATCGGCTACGCGAGCTGGTTCTCAAACCCCCCCTTTGCTATCTCCCCCTTTCGCCCGGCCAGATCCTCCCCTCGGCCTGAGCGTGCTGCTGCACTGGCCGCCCCTGCCACTCGCCTCGAGCACCAGCCACAGGGCCACAGCTGCCCCGTCAGTCAGACCAGGCCGCCGACATCCGCCGGCGCCTGCCCCGCTTCCCACTGCAGCCATCTGGGCCGGACGACAGGGGGGGGGGCGACAGGGAAAGAGGGGTAGCCTGACTCCAGATCCGCTGTATTCTGGGTGATTTCGCAAGGGGGGCGGACGTTTCCGCCTTGCTTTGCAGGCTCCTTTGATGCCGATTTCCGCCCTGCTTTGCCGTCGCTGTTTCCCCCATATTTCCGAACCGTCCTGCGTTGCTGGGTCCTCGTTTTGAAGAGACAGCGCCCCGCGTCACTCACTCCTCCTCCCCCCTTCCTCCCTCCTCCCTGCGTTTCACCCACCCAGCAGTACAGCGTTTCGTGGCCTCGACAGGGAGCTCCACCGAAGGCCCCAGTGCCACCGCCTGGTTGGCCCACCCGCACCCATTTCGGCACACCCCTCACACGTGTCGTGGCCCCATAGGGATCTCCACCAAAAGGCCCCAGTGCCACCGCCAGCATGCGTCACCCACACCCATTTCGGCACACCGCTCACACGTGTCGTGGCCCAATAGGGAGCTCCACCGAAGGCCCCAGTGCCACCGCCCGCATGCGTCACCCACACATTTCGGCACACCCCTCACGTGTCGTGGCCCCATAGTGAGCTCCACCGAAGGCCCCAGTGCCACCGCCCGCATGCCCGCATGCGTCACCCATACCCGTTTCGGCACACCCCTCACACGCTTCTGTGGCCCCATAGGGAGTTCCACCGAACGCCCCAGTGCCACCGCCCGCATGCGTCACGCACACCCATTTCGGCACACCCCTCACACGTGTCGTGGCCCCATAGGGAGCTCCAGCGAAGGCCCCAGTGCCACCACCCGTATGCGTCACCCACACCAATTTCGGCACACCCTTCACACGTGTCGTGGCCCCATAGGGAGCTCCACCGAAGGCCCCAGCACCACAGCCCGCATGCGTCACCCACACCAATGTCGGCACACCCCTCACATGCTTCGTGGCCCCATAGGGAGCTCCACCGAAGGCCCCAGTACCACCGCCCGCATGCGTCACCCACACCCATGTCGGCACACCCCTCACACGTGTCGTGGCCCCATACGGAGCTCCACCGAACGCCCCAGTGCCACCGCCCGCATGCGTCACGCACACCCATTTCGGCACACCCCTCGCACGTGTCGTGGCCCCAAAGGGAGCTCCACCGAAGGCCCCAGTACCACCGCCCGCATGCGTCGCC